CCTATGCTGGCAGGTCCTGAGCACAGTGTCCTTTCATCTGGAAACCAAGGACAAACTCCATAGCCAATATGGACTCTGGGACAGCCCCCTCCATACCTTCTTCTACATGGACACAGCAGTGGCTGCCTAGCTTTCTACTGGACTGTTTTCTGTACTTCCTGATGAAAGTTTGGGGTCTCAGTACTTGTCCCCAGTGGACTGAGAATGAAAATGTTTAGCTTTCTGCCTTGAATGCCTAACTCATTACCCACTGCTGCTCTGTACTCATGTTTTAAATGACAGTTCTGAGGTTGCTGCTTAGGCATTCCTCATCCTAAAGGGAGTTTGAATTTTTCAGGAACTTTGCAAGATTTAAAAGTTAAGCTGTAACTGGGTGTGGTGGTATATTGGGATTATATCCCAGTTCTTGAGAAGCTGAAGTAAGTGGATCGTGGTTTGGAGAATAGCCTGAGCTACATAGGGGATGTTGTCCTGAAAGAAAAAGGGATAAAGTAGTTAAACAAAGACCACACAAATTAGTTTAAGCAAAGGAGCATATATTACTCATCTTCCTGGGATTCAGAGCCTGCTGGGGTGAGTATCTCAGACAGCATTGTTTGGAGCTTTCTTCCTGCCCTTGGCTCTATGTCCTGCTGGGAACTGACATCATTATTTGTAATTGTGAATGGGATCATTTCATAAAGCCATGGAGATGCCTATGGTCTACTCCAGGCTCACGTAGTTCCTGTTTGGTAAGCACTTAGAGAACAATTCAACATCTAAGATCCTAGTTATGCTTGGGGTATGTGCTCAGTCTTGAATCCTTTCAGTGTATTGGGAAGAATGAAAAACATCTGTGGCCAAGTCTAGGTCACATGTGCAGGTTCTAGAAAAAGAAAGGGCTTGGGAAGATGTACTCTACAGGCAAAGTAATGAATACACAATCTCTACTGCAATGGGGTTTAACCTTCTTGTGGCATCTAATTAGGTGAAAGATTTGGGGCAAGGGATCTTTTTCATCTACTGCCTCAACATCATCACATATCCTGCTTTCTCAGTGGCTTTGCAGAGTTTGGGGCTGTCCAGCACCCTTCTTGTTCTGTCTAGCCTCCACTCACTCTTCTAGATTCTTTCAGTTCAATGTTTTGAAAACACTCAAGGCATTTTCTACAGTTCCTCTCCTAACCAATGTCTGCCAGAAGCTCCAGCCTTTCTGTCACCATGGCCAGCAGCTGGCCCTTCAGAGTTCTCTTTGGACATTATACTCATCATACAATTAGGTCACCAAGTCCTGCTGAGTCAGGCTGGGACAGAACCCAAGTGCAGTCTTAGGATGCAGGGCCTTCTCTGTCTCCTTGTGGGAGTGAGCATTTGAACCACATGTCCTCATGGCAAGCTTTAAAAATTCCTCCCTCTGCCCCCCAGATCCTGAAGTAGTTCCTTCTAAACACAGCTTAAGACATTCGGCCAATACAGCTCACGGCTTCTGTGTTAGAAGGGAATGAGGGAACCATTGAATGTTTGAATGTTCCTACAGTGTCCTCACAAGTGGCTTCTTGAGTTGGACTATGTTTGGAAATCTCCATTATTGGACAGTTCTTCATGTTGGCAGCTTTCCTCTCAGTTCTTCTTGTCAGTCAGAGGCCATAAGAACAAAATGAATAGAGTGAGTTCCTTATGTTGGAGGCCTGAGAGTCCCAGGGCAACTTCCATGGCATGGTCTGAATGTGTGACTCCTGATGATCTGTACAGTTGATGCAGATGAATTTCCAAATGGTCTTATTAAATAAAAAACACAGAGCCAAATATAGGGGTGAAAACCTTAGAGAGATCAGAGAAATAGGGAAAGCCACCAGCCAACCTTACCCCATCAACTCTGCAGCTTCCAAATGTGAGTTACTTCCTGTCTACCCACGCACATATGCCTTGCTGTTCTGCAATCTGATTTGCTCTCTGTCCGGCTACATCACTTCCTCTTCCTGCCCAGCTCTATCACTTTCTGTCTGTCTGTATAGACCTCCAGACCTCCATGGTTAACTAGTGTTGGAATTAAGGCGTGTGCTACCACATCTGGCTCTGTTTCTAGTGTGGCCTTGAACACACAGAGATCCTGCCTGCTGAGTGAGAGGATTAAGGGTGTGTGCTACCACTGCCTGACTTCTTTTGTTTACTTATAATGTAAATGTAAAACTTGACCCAAGGATTAAGAAAATAGAGTTGAGATCCTGTCTGCAGCCTTAAATCATTTTCCTGTTGAAAAGCATTATGTATAAATAAATGGGCTTTGAACCTATATCCCTAGTTCCAAAGACCAATATGACCTCTAGATATACTCCAGCCTCCACCTAGACATCTCTAAGTTTGGACCTTCTTCAAACTTGGCAAGTCCCAGACTAAATTCAGTCATTAATCTCACTTCACTTACACCCTTCCCAAACATGTCCATCTTCCAAAGTTTGGTATTTTTATGGCTACAACGATCTACCCTCTCTTTCTTAAAGGTCCCACTATTCTTTAAGACAACTCTGATCTCATGTTTTCCATACATGGAGTGGAGAGAGCAACAGAGGACAGGTTTCAGAAACCAAATTCATTAAGGTCCAGATTAATGACCTGAAAGTCTCACTCTTCTCAGAAAACAGGGCTTCCTCATCCTGCTTCCGTAGAACTTAATGTGAAACTCTCTTATTCTTTCTAACTCCTACCTCATTTAAATCCAAATCTCTAATATCTTCATTGTTCTGAAATAGTTCTGCTTCTTAAAGCACTTGGCAATTTTACATGCAGTACAAACAATTATTCCATCCTTAATTACTCCTGTCCTGAACTAATTAGTGTTTTCTTGTGGCTTTCTCATATGATGACCAGTGTTACTGGTTCTATGTGTTTGTAGATGCTACACGCTTGCTCAGATTGTGTGCAAGAATCTTTACACAGCTGTCTGTGTGCACTCCGGAGGGAAGGGACAGTGCTTCTCACACTGTCACAGGATGACTTTAGAGTCAAACACACATGCTTTTGATTTGAGCGTCTGCTCTTACAGCACGAGTGGCCTTCTGCAAGCCATTTAGTTTGTGTGAGCCCCGGCCTTCTCATTTGTAAATAGTAGGGTAATGCTTACCCCAGAAGGGTCACAATATTCTCTTCACCTCCTTGACTTTATCATGCCTTCTGCTTCAGTTTCTTACCCCCCTTTTCCTGAGATAACCTCTTTTTCTTCCACTCTCAGCTTAGATAATGTGCTCCTTGGAAAGCCTGTGGCTCTCTGGTCAAGTTAGTTTTCTGTGTTCTCATTTATTACATTGCCTCTGCCCATGTCTTGGCACCAGCCTCTGAACTGTCTGGTCTGTGCCCTTTCTCTCCACTTTGAGAAACTATAAACTCCATAAAAAAATGGGGACTATGATTTGCAAAACATCAAAACCCATTTTTGCCCTTCCCCATTCCTTTTAATCCAAAGATTTTTAAAGCAAGCCATATTGAGTAAGGAATTCATGACTGAAATGCTAAAGAAAATGGCCAAATCTTATTCAGTACTTATTAGCTGACATTGCAGGAGTTCAGCCCACTGAATTGCTGGCTCCATCCCAGTACTGGGCTCTATCTTAGGCTCTGGGAAGTGATCTGCTTTTGGTGTAGAAATAAAGTAATGTGTCCTCTAAATTATCACTAATGCCCAGTCCTTTACAATTTCATGAGGTTCACAAATGGCTTTACATCTATGATAACTACCTTAATCTAAGAGAATGTGTTTTTTTAGATTTCCAAAAGCAATAGCAATCCCCAGTTTGTTTGATACATACAGTTGTAAATATTTTATTTTAAAAACCCAGCCACATGCAAATTCATTATAACAACCTAGGCATGTTATTTAGAATAACAGCAGTGATTACTTGTAGGCATTATATTTACTTTGAATGTTGTCACTTAGAAGTGACATGAGAGTTAGCAGAGGAAGCTTGATTGGTGGCCAATGATCCAACCTCCTGATTTTCACTAGCTTTGTTATCTTGGGCAAGTAATTTCATTCCTTTGTGCCCCAGTTCCTCAGTTTAAAAGATGCAATTGGAGCATTTGCATTATAGAATTAATGTATGAGTTAAATGAGATAATACCTGTAAGGATAAATACCATTGCTTAGCACTTGGTATAAATGCTCTATAAATGTTAGATATTACTATTTGTCAAGGGCAAATCAAATATAAGAAGAATGTATGGATAAGATTGGATTTAAATTTCCTGCCAGCTGAGAGGTTCTGTGTTTCTGTATTACTCTGATTCTTCAGCATTCCTATTCAGTAGGGAGGGGGCAGCATTATCCACATTTTACAAACAGTGGAACTGAGCCACAGAGAAGCAAAATATATAGTGCTCAAGTGGCGGTCGAAAACTAAGACCGACTTTGCAGGCATAAGTAGCAAAGCACTTTCCAGGTGGCTGACTAACTGCGCAGTTAAAAGTGAGCGTAAGCTAGCTCTTAGAGTTTGTGAACACAGGCCTCCTTAGCCCCGTTTCTGCTCAGTTTCTCCAGGGATACCAACAAGGTCAATCCTGTCCCCAGGCCTGAAATAATATCAGATTATGTCTTCCTGCCTGTTTTTTTTCTTGCTAGCTTTCCAAAAAACCACATTATGGGGTTGAATGGAGTGTCAGTTGATGTCTCCTCCCTTTCCTACATAGCTGCCTCTTCAGGTAGGCACTCCTCCCATTCTTGAGTTGTGCTGGGTATACCCAGTCCTCACTTAGCTGTCAATGAGATTTTAGAGGATTCACCGGGGCCTTTAAACCACTTGAGACCCTCACAACTGAACTTGTTCCAAAAGCATTTTGTCCCCAAAGGCACCCTGCCTCCCACACTGTGTTTTACTACTGTAGCCACAGGCAAAGGATCCGCAAAAGGTCCTCATTCTCCCTCTGTCTTCCGGTCTAAGCTCACCAGAGGGAAGTCTCTGTCTTCATTAGGACCCTGGCTGTTTGACTGTGCAGAAAAGCCTCCGAGAGTTTGTGGGTGCCAGATTGCTCAAGAGGACCAAAGACACCAATGACACGTTGTTTTTCTGTCCACTAGGGGGCTGCTTGTAGAAGGCTGGGGAAAAAAAGCTTAAAAATATGCTGCTGAAATTTCAGTAAGAGGGGAAAAGAGAGAGCTTGCGAAAGACAGCAGAACGGTCCCAGGCTTCCTCATCTCCGTTCACGTCAGAGGCAGGAACCGACCGACTGTGCTAAGGCTGTTGGCTCAACACGCAGAGACAGAGCCGGAGGAGCCTCAGACTGGGAAAGAAGAGGTGGTCCTCCCTGACCCAAGGAATTACCACTAGTGGAGTAAAGCCATCTGACTTTTTGATCTTATTTGGTTGCCTCTTCTCTCCTTCCACCGGTAGACCTACCAGCTGGGTTTCGTTTCTTTCCTGTAGCCTTCTCTCCCTCTCAGAAAAAGAGGAAGGGAAGAGAAGGAGAGAGGTGGGCGCTCTAGGTGAGCGCATCAGCTGGCTCCAGCCCGAACAGACAAGAATTCTCTGCCCAGGAAGCTCCTTTCGCTCTCCGGCTACCCAGCCCCCCTCAGCGCCCCCAACCTGGGTAAGTCCAGAGCACTGCGCTCCTCCTCGGGTTCCTGGCTAGCGAGATTTCAGCACCACGGAGAGCGACTAGATGCATTTCTATTCTGTCTGTTCTTGCAAGGCTGTTGGCAGTAAGGTTACATCTCTTTCGGCTGCCTGTAAAGCTGGGTTCTGCGTAGGGGAAAAAGAAAAGAAAGGAGAAAGGCGCAAAACTGTGTCTACCGAATTAGAGGGGGATGTGGACCTTGGCCTTGGGAGTGAGCCTGAGCAAATGTATGTGTGTGCACTGTTGCATAAGACAGGTGAGGTCGGAGCTAGCAGGCTTGTAATTGTGCTAGTCTCCGTGTGAGGCTGTGCTTTTTATATGTAGAGGAGAGGGAGGGTTTGGGGAAATGAGTCGTGGATCTTCCTTAATTAACTCTTTCCTAGCCAGCTGTAGGTGCTGGGAAAGTGTTACAGAGCTAGCCTGGGGGGTAGGAGTGGAGGTAGAGTTAAAAGTTGTGCTCCTGGGAGGGAGCTTGGAGAGGTTATATTTTAAAATGTCATTTTCCCCCAGGATTACCTGGGTTCTTGCTGTAGTGAGAGCCTAACTTGACCTTTTGCTTCCTTTCCTGGTGTGAATTCATGGTGGGCAGGTGCAACAGGTTAGTCGCAGGCTTGGGTAATTTGGGGCTGAGGTCTCCAATTTCATCCTTCTAGGAAAATACTCAGCCTGGCAGGGGCTGGCTGGTGTGGATTATACTATTTTTGCAAGCAGGCAGGAGGTACCATCCACTTTTCTGTTATCCTTGCTTGGGAAGAGGAAAAAGTCTGCTTTCCCCTATTTTCTGGGGCGTCTGTCAATGAAACACAGCACAGAGGAAAGGCTTTGTCTCCACTCATCTATAGCATTAGGAGCAAAAATAGATTGGCCCCAAAGTGGGAGTCTCTCCACCTCCCATCCAGGGGCTCTACAGCTGGGAGCTGACCATTCCTATGTCCTATTGCCTTTCATGCTCTCTCTCTCTCTCTCTCTCTCTCTCTCTCTCTCTCTCTCATCCTCTCTTTCTGTCTTCTTCCTCCCCCCCCACCTCTTTGCCTCTCTGTCCCCTTCTTTCTCCCCGTCTCCCTACCATCTCTCTCTCTTTAAATACTTTCAATAAGTTTCTTCTACCTGTCTTGCCTTTTCCTTGGAGATACTATTTGCCTGCTCCCATGTCCTCCAGTTCTACTCAAACCTGCTGCAAGAAACTACTCAACAAGTGACACTGGGGGTTTTCTTCAATCACCAAAAGTTCCCCAGGAGACAGTCTCCCACAAGGGATGTGCAGCTACATGTAAGAGAAAGCCTCAACTTAGTTGGCCAGTAACTCTTTGAGGTTCTGCTCATCTTTGTTCATGATGAGGTGGGGGAGGGGTGGGCAGGTGGAGTTGTGCATAGACCTTCTTCCTGTGATGACTTTTGCTATGCATTTAATTCAAAATCCTAGGCTTTCCTCTAAGACGAGGAAAATGCTCTTTGCTTTGGACTGTGGGAAGCTTCTAGGTGAGAGAGAGAGTTCTGAGAAAAATGGTACCCCCCCCCCATGCTTATTAGAATCAGCTCTAGAAACTTCAATGTGTCTTTAGAATGAATGGTAGTGAGTAGATTGTGGAGAGGGGAGGACAGTGATGTCAGAGGTTGTAAAAGGTAGAAAAAGGATTGAAATAGACAAATTTAGAGAACCAGAAACCAACACTGACTTATTCATACTCCATCTTTGCCTTTCACATCCCCCTAGTTTGTATCGGTAAGTGGATGGATTTCTGCATGACACATCCCTGGGTGCTTTAAAAAAACCATGTCCTTGCAGTGGACCCTGTCTTAAAGCTGTGTTGGTTTACTGATATCACCATTATCTTATTAATGCTCCTAAATTCTCTCTGAAAAAAAGTGTTCAGTGACATTATTGGGCCTTCTTTTTTTTAAGGAGAGACAAGCATTGGGCCAGAGAGTGGCAAAAGCAGAAACAGAACTTCTGATCTCATCACCTGTAAGTGCAGAAGTGCTCAGTGTGGGAGAGTGAGAAAGGATTGCCATCCTGCAGACACATGTGCAAGCAAAACTCCTTAGCGAATTGGGTGTGAGGCTGTGGGCTCTCCCTGGGGAAGAATGGGAACCAAGCAGGCATCTCAAGGTGCTGCTGTTGCCCAGAAGCCAGGTGAAGAGCTCTGTGCTATAGTGGAGAGAGTTCCCTGGGATAGTGGCCTCCAGGCTGAACTGAAGTCATATGCCTGATGGCCATTCTGCTTACCTCAGAATCCCAGGTAGAGGCCCCCTTTCCCAGAACTCATTGCCATAGATGTCTGGGATCGGGATGTTTGTTTACTTTCCTATCATGTGAATCTTCACAAGGCCACCTTCATTGAGTCCTCTCTGGTTTGGGATGTGAGGAAGATGACCAACAGTCAGGAAATGGTTGGGCTTCTAGCACCCAACAAGGAGTGGGGAATGGCACAAATGTACTCTATGTACCAAGCCTCTACTTCCCCAGATGCCCCTGCTCTCAATCCTGCCAAGATTCTGGAGAGAAAGCTACTGTGTTCTCACATCTGCCTCTCCCTCACTAAACAGAAGAAATTCTGCTAGGCTGCCTCTGAGACCTAGAGATAAGACATGCTAGGAAAAGATGCAGGGAAGGATAAAGTAAGCATCCTGATTTGCTCTCCATCACTGTAAGTGACCATCTCTTACCCCAGATGGGTAACCATAACTTTTTTAAATTGAGGTATAATTTGCATGTAAGAAAATGGATAGAAGGTAACTATTTGGATTAGTAAGTCTAGACAACTGTCAAAATGAACACTTGATCTCTACCCCAAATAAAATATACAAAAGTTCCTGCATATGTCTTCACAATCAACCTTCTTTTTCATAGTCCCTTTGCTTGTTGATTGCTACCATCATAGCTCAAACTTCTGCACTGTGAAGCAGAAATATAATGCTGATTGCATTCCATGCTAGATGGGTTACATGGATCTTAGACTCTTATATGGATATCTCAGGGTCTGAGGCTACTGATTCTAGATATATTGCAGGAAAGGTGAGGGATAGGTGGGATATATTCTGCATTTCAGTTTCTTGTAATGGTGGTAGAAAATGGCCATTTCAATGGTGTGCATGGAAGGCAACAATTAAGTCTCCACAGAAGACCCTGCAGGTTCCTGCCTTTGAGCTGATCTGAGTTTATTTGATGGCACAACCCATGAATATGGTTTTGAAATAGTTATTAAAAATATGGAATCAAGTTTCAGGTGCCTTTTCATGAGTCACTCCATCATCTGGTCTCCAAGAGTGAGCTGAGGAAGGAATAGCCCACATGATCTTAGTAGTAGAGAAAGAAAAAAGAGAGCTAGTTCACAGTGTCGGTCTTTAAACCATGAAATCCAGACCCATCCACAAAGACCTGGGCTGGGGTGTGTGTGCTTATTCTCTTTCTTTAAGAGTGACTTTAAAACCAGAAAGTATATGTTGACCGCATGATTCACCATAGTTCTACCCAAAGACCCTTCATTCAGCTTGCTTCCATCTCTGGGCTGCTTACTCCAGCAATAAGTACAGTTTCCTATTTATCATTAAGAAATAATGGAGTAATCAGAAGGTTTTTGGTGACTTGGTTGAATATATTTGTGTGTTTGTATGTGTGGTATCATGACATCTTACCAATTCTCTTCTATCTCTATTCTGAGGACCACTGGATTGAGGCATTGTAACCAGCTGAGCCTGAGATCTTCAACTAAAACAGTATCTTCCAGCTCAAACAACAAATCAGAGTCCTCAAAATTTGTCTGTGTGGATCATACAGTGGATCACACAGTCAGTGGATACCCATGTCCTCTGCCTGCTTCCTTCTATTTGGAGATTTTCCTATAGCGCCTTCTTTCAGGATACTGTCCCTCTGAATTCTTCTACCTCAGAGGATGCACCAAGCCAGCTTTTCTATGGGAAGGGACCTGGGTCATTTCTCCCAGATGAGATCCCACAATGGGGAGTATAGGTTGCTAAGCTACACAGTCACGGCAAACTAAAAGATGGCCAAAGGGTAGACTCCCTAACATCTAAATAGAAGATTGTGCAAAATTCCAAAAGCCAATTGGAGTGGATGACTTGGCAGAAGTCATCATCTTGATCCTGATTTTCATTGATAACGGTGAAGTAGCATTGCATTCCTAAGAGCATGGCAAGAGGGATTGTGATAAAGTTGTTTCAGATCTATTTCCAACCACACACAGGACTCATTAAAGCTTTGCCTTCAATGTTATTTTTGGCTCGAACTATATTGATACATCTTGACCATAGGGAGTAATGAGTACATCAGTTAGCAAGTAGACCTCAATAGCCATATTCTTTTTCATTTCTTCTTACTCCCCACAATTTGGTATTTCTTTTGTCTTTTTGGTGTCTCCAATTTAGTGGCATAAAGAGCTTTCACACAGTGTGTAACCGTAACCAGTGCCCACATTCACAACATTTCATCCCCCAAACTGAAACTATGATAACTCCCATCTTCTTCCTCAGCCTCCACCAATCATCACTCTATTTTCTATCTCTGAGTCTGATCTAGCACACCATACCATACTGACAATCATACAATTTTATCTTTTTGTATCCTACTCTTATAAATTATTTTATTTAGTATTAGCATGAGTGTACTCTGTGTGTGTGTATGTGCGTGCGTGCATGTGTGCACATACACAAAATTGCATATTTAAAAAATATTTTAAAAAAATCATCCATTTGACAGCAGGCATCAGAATTTTCTTCCTTTTTCCAACAAAGTAATATTCCACTCCATATACAGACCACCTTTTATCTGTATATGAACACTAAGGTTGTTTTTGGCCAGTTGATTCTGTCTTACTCTCCAGACAATGGGTGGAACAACTCTCTGGTCAAAACACTGATTTGAGTTAAGATTATTCTCTTTCCTGATAAGTCTAAACAGATGGTTCCCTAGAAGCAGATTGGAGAGACTACATGGAGCCAGTGCATATGAATGA